AGTAATACATTTAATGAAATGCCTGTTCCTGGAGGGGTGCAGCTCTGGTTGGGAAGAGAATGGGGAGTTGCCTATACCATGCTCAGGAGGAGATGAAAAGGGCAGGTCAATAGACTTGACAAAGAAGGTGGTCTGAGAATCTTAACTTTAGAGCAGAATAACAGTGATGGACCTCGTTTTTTGACTGACGCTGTCTGTGTTTATGCTGCAGAGCAGAACAGTATCCTTCAAAAATCACTGTGAAAGATGGTCAGCTTCCTTCCGCCCTGTCAGGGTGCTGCTCCCCTCGTCTGTCTTACCCATCACTGAGCTCAAAGTACATGTATTTCCCTACTGACCAGCTCAATGGCTTTCATTGATGGGCTTTTTTCTGCTTAATTTGCTTCCTGGTTCCACCCCCATAGCTGCAGAGCTTTGCAAAGTACCTCCACAAAAGAAGCTTCAGTCAAAGAAGTACGTAAAGTATCCAATATATTAAAAGGTACCTAAAAACCAACAGTAGAGGAACAGCACTTCAGCTGGTGTCCCTTAGTGCCAGTAAAAGACTCAGAGAATCCCGGAATGGTTTGGGATGGGTTGGGAGGGTCCTTCAAGCCCATCCCATCCCATCCCACCCCCGAACATGGCCAAGGACACCTCCCACTATTCCAGGTTGCCCCAAGCCCCATGAGGCCTGGCATCAATCCTGCGGAAAGCTTCTGCCTCAGCTTCGCATCTCTGCTCAGCTGCCTCTTTTGCCTACAGAAACTGAGCTGTAAGAGGAGGCATTACACTGCATTACCTCACAATGGGTATTGGAGTCCTACAGAGTACAGAAACTGTCCTTTTTCAGTTATTTATCACTTTGTCCACCAGTAATCACATTCAATTTACTGTATTAGACTTTTGTATCTTCATACACCTACGGAAGGTTTCATGAGAACATCCTCTCAGCCTTACAACTGCATTCTACAGGGGTAATGAAGGACTGACAGCAACTATAAAACTGAGCATTCTGGTTATCCTGCCAGGATTTTCCTTCCAAAGTGTTAGGCCAAAGGAAGTCATGAATTCAGAAAATGTCCAAAATTAAGGCAGGCTTGGTGTCAAGGAAGGAATATTTAAAATTGATGGAGGTTGAGTTCCTTCAGGTTACTGAGACAAGAGAACTTGTGTTTAGAAAATGGGTAAAATAAGAGCTGTGATAAATGGAGATTATTTGTGCTAACTAAACTGTAATTATTTGGAAAGTTATTATTGTAAAGCAATAAAGGGAACTGGTGTTACAAGACAGATGAACTCCTTTACAGATGTTACATGTTAAAAATACATGATGTAGTTTTAAGATAAGTAATGTCTCAAGACAAAATTGACCTTGAGATGGACAAAGTTGGAATGACTTTAACATAGGGCCTGAAATTACGAAATGTAAGATTAATTAGTGGAACACAATGCTTACTTACATAAGACAACACTTAGTACACACACACAACCTGTTAGGCTATTCAGAGGACAACGAGGTTGAGTGTAAGCCTTTGTGCAAAAGACTACGAAAGGAAGACTGAAGACCCTCTAGCAACAAGTGAAGCATGCGCCATGAAGTATAGTGACGCAGAATTTAAGAATTGAAAGTGGGAAGAAACTTACAGGAAACAGTAATGAATATGTAAAAGCATATGGTATATAGGTTTAGTTTGAATTGTTTTGTTTTGTTTTGTATATGAGGCAGGGTGAAAAGCCCTCCCTGTACCCCGGTTGGTATGTTTGCTTATGTTTTAATCATACTTAATATTGGCAAGTTACATAAAATACATAAATTGTATTTTTTTTACTAAATTGTATTCTTTTACTAAATTGTATTCCTTTATACCAAATTGCTATTCAATTCACTAAATTGTATTCATTTTTAATTAAACTACTGTTAATTTAATAGACCTAGTTGTCTAATTTTAATTTAATTTAGAACAGAGCCAAGCCTGCCGTTTTTTGCGCAGCCTCATCTGCCAGGGATGCTGCCAGTTTTCCAATGTGTACCAGCTACAATTGAGTCCACACAGAGAAATATAGCTCTTTAGATCCCTGTTCCTATTGGATAAATCCATTCGATATGCAAGACTTTCCCAGATGGTGTAAAACCCCAAGACCATACTAATTTATGCAGGATGAGTCTCATAACATTGAGGTTATGAAACAGCAGCATCAGATAAAAATAAACGGTTTTCACTTCAGAGTTTATCTACCTTTCTAATGTAAATTTATGGTTATTAAAGGAGGTTATTTATAGGTGTCTTTTCAAGCTGTTACATAACAGTGCTTCTGCCCTGTGCCTTTGTACACAGATAGAAATCACATTAATGAGCTATTCACCCAACAACTCAATGAATGTAGGAGTGAGGAGAATTCACAACATGAGACAAGTAACAAACAAAAATCCCAACCTTTCTTTCTGCTTTAAATACATCTGGGAAATTTAGCAGAACACAGAAGTCTTAAATCTTGAAAATAATGAATACAATTTATGAGCAGGAATGTGAATATGTTTAATGACTTAGTTAACAGTACTAACAAAAGTGAATTTGCTGTTTTCAAGGTTACTTGATTGTAAATTATGCTATGTACACCTCACAAGTTTTACGTAGGCAGTCAAGTACAATAATTCTGAGTCTGTTTTAAACATTAACACTCGCTTGAATTGGTTTGCTATATTTTATGCATTAAACACCAACATGGGACAAAGTAAAAAAATACCATCATCTTTTCTATTTTTCCTATTCTCTTAATGTAGAAGTCTTCTGATCTCATTTATGTCAGCACTTGCAGTGATCTAGAAGGTTCTGTACCTAAACAACAAGGATCTCAGACTTATCCATCCACAGAGACACTATAAATTGTGCATTTCAACTGTAAAATTGTTATTTCTTCATTTAAAATATTTTTTTTCATTCTAATATATACATAATTACTAAAAATTCAACTCCTTCTCCCAACCTTGAAGAAACCTAAATTCTGTTATGTGCACAGTGAGTCCTCCAAAGGAGGCATCACTTCCTGCAGTAGAATGTCAGTGGAAAAGCAGGAGCTCCTGCAATACGCCATAGAATATAACAGATCATGTGCACATTTCACTCAGGTGCCCTGATTTCTATTTTGTCTCCTAAAATCTTTTCAGGGTCACTTTTCCAGGTAAGCCACCTACCAGTCAAGTTACTTTGGGAAATAGAATATTCAACATTGAAAAATTAGATTCATTTATGAATCTAATAATTTGCAACTGCAGATTTGTAAGAAATAAAAAGGTTAAATACAATGTCACTGAGACAAATTCACTACAGATAGTGAGGCACAGGATGGTGATTTTAAAGGTCAGACATTTTGTAAACTCTTCTAGCCTGAGTAAAGGAATCTGCTTTGATTCATCTTATTGAAAATGTTAGTAAAACATGGCAGATTTCCCAAAGAACTTTATGGCTTCCCATAGAAATACCTATTAGTTTAGTAACACAGGTTTAATTTAATAATTTTTAATTAAATTTTTAATTAAATGCATTATTACATCTGCACACTTTCTGTAAAGGTTTGTGCTAAGAAAATTTGGTCTCCCAAAATGTTCATGCATGAAGGAGGTTTACTTCAAGAGCATGGGAATATTCATTAACATTTTTTTGTATTCTTCTACCTCTGCTTTGGGACAAAGTTCAAACAAGATGATTTGCACTTGGAAGACACTAATTAGAGTTTTTCAAGCTGCTGTATAAATTACACACTTTTTAGATGCTGAAGTATTGTAGTTCCAGGAATAACTCTAGACTTTCTGCTGGAGTTTATAACACATCTAAGTTTTAATATATTAGTTTTTATAACAGTGAAATAACACTAAGAAACTGCCCTTTTTTATGTGGCTTGGTGATGTTTCTTCCAAATATACTTTTTGCTTTCAGAAATGTCCACTACAGATACTATACCAAAGTGTCAGATAAATCTGGGCATTTTTCTGATATCTAGAAAAATCTAAATGACTTTGACAAAGCAGCATGTCCTGCCAGCATGATTATAGCTATAGTAGTCATCAATTTGGTCCATATTTTTCATCAGGCTGGATTAGCTATAAATGTTTACCTTGTCCCCTCTGGATCAAATACCTAAATAAGCTTTTATATTGCAAGGATATTCTAGCCAAGACACTTTTAGCAGTTTCATGGAGGGAAAATGCTTAAGGTGTTGTTTTATAGTTCGATGATTCCACAGACAGCAAAAAAACAGGAATAAAGAGGTGGTTTTCCTAATTTTTTAAATTAGATTTGGTTTTTCCTCACATAGCCTGTTTTTTCCCCAAGATCCATAATTAAATTCAGTGAAAACTTCAGGTACTTGCACTTGCAAAGTGCAAATTTGGGGAGGGGTTTTGCTTTGTTATTTTCTTTAGCTTAGGAGTAAATCACAAGTCATCCTGATTTTCCCTTTTTGTTCACAACAACACTTTTATTCTCATGCAAAGTTTTAATTCATTAGGCTGTCAGTTTTCAATTCAGTAGGAGGTTAATATTAGTATGTCCCAAGGATCTGGACTGTAGTTAGCATTTAGTACACTCATTCATTTTCCAGAAAGGCAGAAATGAGGTGTAGAACAGAAAAATGAGGTCAGCAGCACTTGCAGATGACAAAATTATTTATCTCCCTAAGAGAAGGCTGTGATGAACTTCATAGGAACACAAGTAGACAAATTGGCAGCATAATGGTTGGTGAAACTCAGACATTGACAAATGCAAGGGAGGACACGGGAGACTGGCATATCTGAACTGCTTGTACCCAGGCCCCTGTTCTAACTTCTCACTAACTGCTAAGGGAAAAAGAACACCCAGTACAATTATAGACTCTTCTCAGTGCCCAGCAGCACTCAAAAGCTAAATAAGATGGTGGAATACAAAAAGAAATAGTGTAGAGAATAGCTAAAATACAGTGGGAAAACATTAGTTCCTGTTTTCCTTTGAACTTTACAATGAGTCAGGGTCATTCTCACTCACCTGAGATCTATCACAGGAGAGGGCCATGCCTCAGACAATTCCTAAATCCATTGTCAAGTGTATTTTGTTGCTGAGTCAGGACTGGAAGCCCATTTTCAGAACTTGTGCTGCCTTGTTTGGAACCTGTGAAGGCTGTTTGCCTCCCTTTGCTTTCCACTCTGGAGATCAGTGCATACCATGAGATCTGGGTGACTGTTCTCAACCGGAGAAGAGCATCTCTTCAGAAGGTGTCATCAGTCTGCTTTTATTCCCATGTGATCTCCCTGAGCACATTGACATCAATCTGCCATTTTATTTCTCCTCACCAGTCAACAGCTTGGCCACTTCAGGTTTTATATTGTTTAGAAATGTTTCCTTTTGGCATCCTGGGAACGTATTTGTATTCTTTCTCCCCCATTTGCCTTTGCCATTGGTTGTGGGTCCTTCTGAGTAAGTTCTCACCCTCTCAGCTCAGTTCTTTGCACAGCACTACCAAGGAGGTGATGAAGAGACAGGAGAATCCCCTTAGAAGTTCATGAGCATCTCCCATGAGATGTAACTGAGCCAGGCTCAGTTACACTGAAAGCACAGGAATCCTACAGGACTAAAGATTTTTGTCAGACAAACTCTGCTCCAGTAGAAAACTGCAATTTTAACTTTTCCTCCAAAATGGAAGTGCCAAACAGTTATTTACAGTTCTGGTTGTAACCCAGACCCAGAGCTACAGAGCAGTGTTTGACAACAGATTTTCATGCAATTCATAAAGTTTTTTGTTTATTTTTGTTTACTTTTAGTTTAGAATGTTATTTTTTTTTCTCATGTTAGAGGTTTGTGAAGAGTTGTGTGAAACACAGGAAAAAAACCCTGAAAATTCTCCATATAGCCCAATATTGGCTAATTTTACAATCACTGAGTTCTACTTAAAATTTGTAGATCTTTTAAGCACCTCAGACTGTAAGAGTATTTATGTGATTTATGTATCTATGTATCTGATATAATCCATAGAAAGAGGAAAAAAGCTTTAAAGCAACTCTGCACAATGCAATTTCTCTCTGTGAATTATTCTCCCCATATTTTTATGTAATAGTATAAATTAATTACAAGGATACCAATTTTAGCTCCGTGTTTATCAAATGAAATTACAAAGATATTCCCAGGAGCACACTGTATGAAAGCGTATATTTTTAGAAATATTTAAGCTGATGAGAAATTAATTTTTTCTGTATTAGTTCTCACTTCACAAATAGAATCTTCTTTGTTCCTAACTAGCTGCTATAACAGCTTTGAGTCTTTAATTATTACTAATCATTGACTAAAGATTTGTTATTATTTGAAAGTTGCAGCCTTTTGGCTCTAACTAATGACTAGGATGGGGCGAAGAAAAATGGTACTGAATTATTCACTAACATTTGGTTTAATTACAATCAAGTGACCCTTTCTAAATTGGAAAGCTCTTGGTAAAAAGCAGAAGACATAAATGAGATTTTTGTATATAAATAATGAATAGCCCTGTTTTTAAAATTTAAACACCAAATTAAAAACCAAACAAACAAGGAAACAAGCAAGGAAATAAAACCTGCCCTACTCTATCCATTCTAGAGCTTTTCAGTAAGATGTAATAGTTTTTTGTGATCTCAGAACAAATTCTGTTTGACCTTTCTGGAGTTCTCTTTCAGATCTGGTTGCACCTGCTTGACTTTAGGGACTGTAACTCTATTCCACTAAAAAATTACACTGAAAACTCCATAAAAGGTTTTTCCTTTCAGCTCATGCCTGATTTTCTTCATGCAGTGAACAAAATAGATGAGTTATACTGCAGGACTGTGTGCAAGGACAATATTTGCAAGAAACCGTATTTGCTTCAGATTTCAAATTGAAGGAGTATCTCAGACACTTAACTATGCTCTTTTTTTAAATCCTAGATCTTCTTATAAAGGACATATTTTAATTAAAAAACAAATTTGGTAGATCATCACATACTCCTTCAGTGCAAAGAACGGCTGTAAGGATCTAAAAAATTTCTTAACTTTCTAAATTCTTTTAAAAATGCATCTTTCCAATTACAGGTGTTCTGCTCCTCAGCACATTTATGCATGTCCTAATCCTTGGACACCACATGCCCTCCAAATGTTTGTAGTTAAGTTGCATCTTCTGCTGTAAATTCATCCAGATTTGTAAGATGAGTGTATCTGAAGTAGATGCATGGCCTGGAGTTCACCTCAGCCTGCTTCAGCTTGCATTTTAAACAATAAAGTGTTGGCATTTTGGAAATACTGTCCTGGATCCTGCCACTGGAGAGGTCAAATTAATGTGTATGCTGCTAGGGCGAAACAGTCCCTAGCCGGGCCTGCATCACTGGCAGCAGTCAGCTCTGCCCAAGCACACCAGGAAGAGGCAAAGAGCAAGGACAGTGAAACGCAAAGCATATTGCACTGCCAGGAGACAGCATCAATCTCTGTGAATGTTACCTCCAGCTGTTTTCAAACCCAGCCAGGGTAACTCACAATCCTGCATTTCTGGTATTTGTCAGGGAGTTTGATGATCTGTAACTTCAGGTATCTGCTAGTTCATCTCAAATCCAAAGCATGCAGGGAGGTTTCGTGGAACTCTGTGGAGGACACTGGCATTACACCAAATGAACAGAGCATTTACAGTGGAATAAAAGTAATCTGTGATGACTGATGTTGTGCCTCTGGCCTTCAGCTGAAACACACTTGAAACTGTGAAGAAGGCTTGGTAATTTAAACAAATGAAGCATACTGCAAGTGTTCAGATGGGATTATGTGAAGGTGGCTTCCAATTTAGGTAAATTTGGAACTGTGAAGAGGGAAATACTGGTTTTTACCTCTTTTAAATCCATTCAGAAAAAAAAAAAATCCCAGAACAATAAGTTGTTTTCTTATTCACTGAATGCCACTGTTCGGTCCTGCAAATATTCAAATAAACCAATAACAGCTTGCCAGAAGATAGGCTGCTAGAAAACACAGTTTGTTTTCTCCTCATTATTCAAGAGTGTGCCCTGAAACATTATCTACTGCATGTAATTCAAATCACAGTCTGTGATCTGTTAAGAATAATTAACATCTTTTTTCTGTCACATCCACCCATCCAAGACACCCCACTAGTGAACACATTCCTGCAAGCCAGAAAAGCTGTAGTAGTCATAGTTATACGAGTAACTAGTTATACGAGTAACATAGTTATACGAGTTAATACTACTAAATGCACTAGTGGACAATAGAGTCTGTGCTGATTTTAGAACTCAGTGAGGAAGGAAAGGCCGTTCAAGCCACCCCCTTTCAACAGTGGAGGAAAAAAGCCATTATTATGCACTCCCTGCTCTGCCTGCAGCCTCTGGCAACAGAACTGTTCTTGGTGCTCAGGGAAGACACCACTTTCCCCCTTACATCCCCCTTGCATCAGCTCACAGGGAAAACATAAGGGAATGTGCAGTTCTAACTGATCCCATTTTCCTCAGCACTGTCTGCTGCCACAGGTGAGCATCCTCCTGGTAATTGTGATCAGGTACAGAACCAGGAGAGAAATCTCAGTGGTTTGACAAAAAAGCATGAGATGGGCAGAGATTGTCCTTTCATAGTTCTGCCTCAGAGACTCACAGCAGACCTGGGGCTGACATAAGTGATTAGAGAGACATTTTAGCAATGGCAGTATCTGCTTTCCAATTCTAAATAGTACTCAGTTTCTTGGATTTTTTTCGCCTGGCAGGGCCTTTTTGAGAGGCGGCATATCCTGCCCCCTCAGGGATCAATCTCCTCCCTCGACACAAATAACACAACTTTCCCAGAATTTCAAGCTTTTTCATTTAAAGTTTCCTCTTTATCCTTAACCCTCATGGACACTAACTGCTGATCACAGCCGAGCTTTTTAAACGACTCCTCACTCCCGTTTTATCACACTCCAAGTCTGATAGATTAAAAAAAATCGAAAGTACACGGTAAGCCATTTTTGGGTTTACCAGTCCTGTACTAGAACATTTTAATGAGGAATAAGAAGGAGGTGGGGGAAGGCTCTGTACAGCCCTCAGTGTTCGGCCCTGGCCGAGCTGCTATCCAGGCCTGCCTCCCCTCAGCGGCTCTGATGATGCTGCCTTGACCACCGGCGATTTGCAACATTCAAATGTTCTGTGACAGAACACACACTCGTGCCGAAGCACATCAGAAATAAAGCCCGGACTTTGTTAGAAACTGCAGCGCTGCTTGTTCCATGAAGTGAGAGGTAGATGCTCTGCGCCAGCCCCGAGCTCGCCGAGCCCCCACCCTGTGCAGCAGCCGCGGCTGTGGCAGGGTTCGCTTCCAGTTCCTGAGGGAGTTCTATGCCCAAGGATTGCAGCTTCGAAGAGGAAGCCTCTGCCCTGAGCCGATCCCGCAGTTCCGACACGGGCACTTCCAGGAATGTGGGATTTGCCACGGAGCCCTCAGGGCCGGGGGCTCAGGGACAGCAAGCCCCGGGCTGTGAGGACAGCCCAGGGCATCGGCTCAGTGATTTCACTACTCACTTCTTGGGTTTGCTTCTTTTATTTTTTAAAACAAAAACCTCTCGTCCCTGTACCGGCACAAGGTGATGAACCTGCTGTTGCTGGCACACACCAAATCTGCTGCTGGATGGGAAGGGACCGGGGCTTGGGCCTGAGCTGGCACTGCTTGGGTACCTGAAAAACTCACATTTCAACTCATGTAAGACCTGGACCTTGGAACAGAAACATTCCCGGCAGCCCTTCTCCCTCTCAAGAGGGCAAACAGGAATAAGCAGTAAGTGAACAGGGGGAAAATTCAGCATTAAATGCAAAACTCCAAATCTCTTCTCAGTCAATTAAGAAAAAAAAATTTAAAAATGACCTTTACATTGGCAGAAACATGCTCAGAAAAATTTATATCCCCAAAGTTCCCCTGGCCCCATGAACTGAATGGGCCCCAATGAGGAACAGCTTTCAGGCCTGTCCTACCCTTTACTCTGCCATAAACATCCACTTCTTAAAAACGAGATTCACTTAATAAATTATAAAAAGAATTTAATATAAACAAAAGACA